GAATGAAGCCAGATGTGTCTCTTTTCAAAATCCTTTACATGCTGCTGGATTCATTTAAAATTTAAAAGGGCTGGGAGGAAGAACGATTCCGGTAGATGCACCTTTGTGCCTAGCCGATTCCCTTTCCTCTTCTAGATTAGGTGTGACCTCCTTCCAAACATTTGGAAAACTGTTTTTGTTGCAGATTCCAGGAGAGTTGTATCACCGTGATTCTGCTTCCTCTGTGAACCATGCTGTGATAGTTAAAGGAGAACTTCAATTTAGGCTTTTCTTGCCATTTAACTTTCCAGAATTACTTTTTTGTTTGGCGTCATTTACATATAGTGGATACGAAGTGGTATCAAAAAGTTTCAAGACTAGTTTTGTAACATGCCAACAGAAGGCAGCACAAGGCTTCACACACAGCCACAGGGAGCACCGACCTTCATAAGTCAGTGTGCCAACCCATATGGAAGAGAAATATATTTGAAATACATTTTAAAAATATTCTTCCCAAATATATTGACATATATTTGAAATGCCACAATTTTGGCCATATTCAATGTACTTCAAAATATATTTCAATAAATAAATATATATATGTATGTATATATATATATATATATATATATATATATATATATATATATATATATACATACACACATATACTGTATGTTGAAATGCATTTTTTATTGCAAACTATATAAAAAATATTTTTAAAAATACATTTCAAATATACTGTATATCTTTAAAAATATAAATCTACATTTTTGGAATGCATTTACAAATATATGTAATAATATATGTTAAAATTACTTTTTTATATGTTAAAAAAAAATCTGAAGAATATATTTAAAAAAATATATATTTTAAAAATATATTCTTTTAAATATATTCTTCAAATTTTCTTTAACATATAAAAATGTCATTTTAAAATATATTTGTAAATGCAAGGAGCCGAGTCTACACATCCTCATTAACACTGGGAGGCCTATAACAAACTCCAATGATTACCTTTGTAGTACGCACCCCCATGTGCAGTTCCACCCATAATACTTCAGCCTCATCACACTCTCCATCAACTACGTCCTCTTTCACACTCGCTCTGAGATCACTTCTCACATTGAGACATACACCACCACCTTTCCTATTTACCCCGTCTCTCCGAAAGAGAACATGGCCAGGAATATTAATGGCCCAATCATGTGAAGAATGAAGCCAACATTCTGCAATACCAATTAAATCCTAGTTCTCTTTATGCACCAAAGCTTCCAACTCGCCTGTTTTGCTTGGCAGTCTTCTGCCATTGGTGAACAAACACTTTAATTAATTGAGACCTTGTGCACACATATTTTGCAAATTTTTTTTTTCATACAAATGGTACCAATTCCACTGGTTGTTTGTAACATGTGAACCTTCTTATCATCTGCCATAGCCCTCCCCCCATCTTTCCCAGTTTCATACAGAATTTCACATTTTCTCTGTTCTAACTTGCTGTTCATGATGAAATAGCAGACATGGTAGTGCACGTGGTCAGAATAGCACCAGTTACACAGCTCCCGACGTACACAGTATGTTGTCTTTTGGCACACTGACTTATGAAGGTCTGTGCTCCCTGTGACTGTGTCTGCAGCCTTGTGCTGCCATCTGTCAGTGTGTTACATAACTAGTCTTGAAACTTTTTGATACCACCATACTCTGACCCAGCGGTGGACACTGAAGGCCCAGTGGAGTCACTAATGGCTCTTTGTGCAACACCAGTCACTGAGCTCCCCCAATTTAAAGGTTGGACAAGTAGAAAGACTTTTTTTTTTTTGCTGGATCCAATTACGTTTAATTCTATATCTATGTCACAGTGGGAGGAGTCCCATTTCCCGTCTGATCCAGCTAGTTTAAGTGGATGCAAATGATGCCAAGTCACTACTTTTACATAAAATATTATGATACGACGCTGCATTCAATCTACTATAGTGCATACCATAAGACCAATCATATAAACGTCATACACAACAAAAACAAATCCAAAAAACTCAGAAAAAAAATTACACTGAAAATCTTCACAACAAATATCAAATATTAACACCGCCATGTGTATAGTGATAAAAGTCCCACCTAAAGTCAAAAGTCTTCTTCATAAGTAACGTTTTGTGCTCTACATCAATCCACACTTGTGATCACCTTGTGTCCTTCACCTTCCACACCATGCGCTCACCTTCTTTTTTTGGGGGGGGGCCATAGATTTCCCTTCCCCACCATTCCTGGTGTTGTTCCTCCACCTCCTCCTTGGTTTGGTGATGCATCTCCAACATACCACCGGTCCCCTTCTCCAACAGCAATGGTTTTCCCTTTTACATAAGACTCTGTGTAAGCCTCAATTGGCGCTAAAGGAAAAAAGAATGAATCCATCAGAGTGTTTCTCTGTTTACTTCTAACTTTATTTAGGCATTAAAAACACTTTCAATTTCATGGTGAACAATAAACATGTGTGGAACGAAAACATTTGTTTTATTTCGATTCATTATTTAAATAATTTAATTTAGTTACATTTGTTTAATTCATTTCCAGAATTCGTTTCGTTTATAGAATTCCTATTTTCCGAATTTGGTCAAATTGAATTCAGTTCAACCAAATTCGGAAAATTCAATGGGCATTTAAATTTATTCTATTTGAAATTCGATTTTCGGTAGACAGTTCTAGTCTATTGTTTGTTTTTTAGTCTATTCTATTTTTTTTTTCTATTCTTTTTTTTTATTTTTCTATTCTATTCTGTTCTATTCTATCATTTTCTATTCTAATCTATTCTATTAGAATTTATTCCATTCAAAATTCAAATGTCGGAAGATGGTTGTATACTTTCTATTTTATTCTGTTCTATTGTTTTTCTTTTCTGTTCTATTCAAATTCAAATTTATTCTCTTCGAATGAATTTTGGAAGACGGTTATATTCTGTTTGATTCTGTTCTATTATTTTTGCTATTCTATCCTTTTCTACTCTATTATAATCTATCCTATTCAAATTCAAATTTATTCTGTTAAAAATTTTAAATTTGAAGAGACGGTTATATTCTATTTTATTCTATTGTTTTTGCTATTCTATTATTTTCTATTCTTTCATTTTCTGTTCTATCCTGTTCTTTTTTACTAATTTTTTTTTCTATTCTATTATTTTATTTTCTATTCTTTTCTATTTTTTTTATTCTATTCTTTTCTATTCTGTTCTGTTTTACGATATTATTTTCTATTCTTTTAGTTTATTTTCTATTCTATTTTCTATTCTAGTTTATTCAATTCTTTTCTATTCTATTATTCTTTTTCTATTCTATTCGTTTATTTTTATTTATTTTCTATTCAGTTCTGTTCTGTTTTACTATATTTCTTTTCTATTAATTTTTTCTTGTTTTCTATTCTATTCCTTTATGTTATATTATATTCTTTATTTTAAATGTGTTTTTGTTTTTTAATTCAAAATCTATTCGAATTTCAGACGTATTTGCGTATTTCTAGAGAGCTCGAAAGAGTAGGGCCCTCTAACCCCTCGTGTGCTGTTTGTTGTTGCTGTACTGTTTCATGTATTGTCCCCCCCCCCCCCTCTATTGTACAGCGCTGAGCAAACCCTTTGGCGCTATATAAACTCGATGTAATATTATTAATTTCATTATTTCTTATTTGTTTAAATTTGTTACTATAGTAATTCGTAAATTCAGATAAAACTGAATCTCTGAATAACAAAAAATGTGTCAGAATTTCATTTCAGAATGAAACTAACCACATGTCTAGTGCACAAATCTGGTGCCCCGCAGATAAAAGCTCTCACTGTCCCCTTAAGGAATGGCTGTGTGGCCGAGTTCCAAACAGGCTTCTCTCATTTCCTAAAAAAAAAAAAAAGTCCTGATGTCACTGGCTCCACCCCGGTCTCAACAATTAGGCCCATCAGGTGAGGTTCCAAGTGGGGATCCGATGTCCATGTCTCCAGAAGACTGACGTTTTATTGAGTGTAGAGCCCTTTGTCATTTGTAGTATAAATGAGCCCCTAAGACACAGAGCGCCATAATTCGTCCTCACATATGATGTGCCCACTTTTGCTCTGTCTGTTTGTCAAATTTATAACCCAGTGGTGGACAACCTTCTTAATATGGTGGACCTCATGTACGGAGATCATCAAAGTGACGCACATACAATCACCGGCCACTTTATTAGGTACACCTGATAAATTGCTTGGCAACACAAATTCCTAATCAGCCAATCACATGGCAGCAACTCAATGCATTCAGGCATCTAGATGTGGTGAAGACGACTTGCTGAAGTTCAAACTGTGCATCAGAATGGGGCACCCATTCTTCTCTGTGGGTGGTGCAGCTGCACTGATTTTTGTGCAGATCAGCAGCGGCACCACCCGCACAGATGTGAACCGAGCCTTAAGGTTATGTGTTTTTCTTCTTAACTTATACTATATATATTTTTTTTTTTATTATTATTTATTTTTTTATGTACAGTATATATATTGCATATTGATCTTTTAAACCAGCAGGTGGAGCTTTAGGCTCTTTTTCACATTTCACACTCAGTTTGCTTCTGTGAAGTAAAATACCAGTTTTTTTTTTTTTCAAACTTCAATCATTTAATTTTCCTATTCTGCAGTTTTAACATTAAGTGGTTAACTCAGCAACAATGCGCACCTAGAAATGTGTTGAAGCTACTGGCCTCTCACATGTTCAGTTCAGCAAATTGTTCAGAATAAAATAATAACCATTTTCACTTCTGTCTTCAGTCGATGAGTCATAATCAGCATTGCTTGCCAAGCTGCCCTTTTTTTCAGTTTAACAGACTGTATTTGCTGTGCTAATCTACAGGGACAAGGCTATGAAAGGCAGGAAAGTAACAGTGAGCGGAGGAATGTATCGGCCAAGAAGGTGACTCAGCCTGCAACAGTTTAAAGTAATATAAATAGGCAAAAGGGTATAATAATAGTAACAATGAAAATGCAAAGTACAAATGTACTGTACGTGTATATACTGTACGGGACAGGGGCGGACTGACCATTTGGAAACTCGGGCACTGGCCGAGGGCCCGGGGTCAGTAGGGGGCCCCATGAGATGCCCCTGGTACCTTTTTCATAGGCTTTTTTGAGTTTGGGCAAGGACACAGGGGCCCCATGATCCCCTATTGCCCAGGGGCCCCATGAGTTGTCATTCCGCCCTTGGTACGGGATATACATCTTATAGGGTCACCATAAAGGATAACTTACTAGAGCTCCCAACATTTCCTATTTTAGAGGGACGGTCCTTTGTTTGTACCAGGATCCCTTTTTCCTTTTGTATCCTAAACTAACAAAAGTTTTTAGACTCTACCTGTTTGTTCAGAAAATTCCAGTAAGGTTGATTTCAATTTCCTACTCTAATGCAAGAACATGATGACATGATGGATGCTACACAAGTTTTTTCTTTCACATAATCCGCAACACTATCCCTTTTTCTAATACGAGTTCCTAATCCTGAACCCTAACACTAACCCGTATCCTAACACTAAATCCTAAACCCAACCACTAATGATAACTCCTATCCTAATACGAACTCTGAAACATAACCCTGACACTAACTGTTATCCTAACACTAACTGCAAAACCTAATCCCTAACATTAGAACTTTTACTAATTCAAATTCCTGACCACTAACCCTTATCCTAATACTAATTAGTAAACCTGACCACAAAGTCTAACTCTTCTCCGGGAATCGTAACCCCTAACACTAACTCTTATCCTAACACTAACTGCAAAACCTGACCCTTAACATTAGTCCTCTAAATGGTAATCCTCAACCCCTAACACTAACTTTTATCGTCACACTAATTCCTGAACCCAATCCCTAACACTAACTCTAATCCTAACACTGATTCCTGAACCCAGCCCCTAACACTAACTCTAGTCCTAACACTAATTCCTGAACCCAACCCCTAACACTAACCCTAGTCCTAACACTGATTCCTGAACCCAACCACCAACCACTAACACTAACTCTAATCCTAACACTGATTCCTGAACCCAGCCCCTAACACTAACTCTAGTCCTAACACTAACTGCAAAACCTGACCCTTAACATTAGTCCTCTTAATGGTAATCCTCAACCCCTAACACTAACTTTTATTGTCACACTAATTCCTGAACCCAATCCCTAACACTAACTCTAATCCTAACACTGATTCCTGAACCCAACCACTGACACTAACTCTAATCCTAACACTGATTCTTGAACCCAGCCCCTAACACTAACTCTAGTCCTAACACTAATTCCTGAACCCAACCCCTAACACTAACCCTAGTCCTAACACTGATTACTGAACCCAACCCCTAACACTATCTCATGTCCTAACACTAACTGCTAAACCTGATTCTTAACATTAGTCCTCTTCCTAATTGTAATCCTCAACCCTTAACACTAACTTATCGTAACACTAATTTCCTCAACCCAACCCCTAACACTATCTCAAATACTAACACTAATTCCTGAACCCAACCCCTAACACTAACTCTAATCCTAACACTGATTCCTGAACCCAACCCCTAACATTAACTCTAATCCTAACACTGATTCCTGAACCCAGCCCCTAACACTAACTCTAGTCCTAACACCAATTGCAAAACCTGACCCTTAACATTAGTTCTCTTAATGTTAATCCTCAACCCCTAACACTAACTTTTATTGTAACAATAATTCCTGAACCCAACCCCTAACACTAACTCTAATCCTAACACTGATTCCTGAATCCAACCCCTAACACTAACTCTAGTCTAACCCGTTGATAGGTGAAGAGTTGGAGTTGAAGTCTCTCATCTGTTGATGATCGATGGTGGCTGTAGTTTCAGTCTTTCAAACATTTTGTTGACTTCTCTTATGAGGGTCACAGGGCTTCTGGTAAGCCTTTTTATTTACTGGTGTTCTGCACGTGTTGTTTTCATCTACTCGTGATTGGGGAAGAGGATCATCATTTTTCTCATTATTTCACGCATTGGGTGTCAGCTATTCACATTCTATGGATTTTTTTCAAGATTTGTGTTTAGTGTTTTTTTATAATAATTGCATTCAGTTTTAGCACTGCACAGTTTTTGTTTTTTATTTGAGCAATATGGCGTATCCTATATTTTGGTGCCAGCAGCAATTTTTTCAATTATTTGTAATCACGTAAATCACAGTTTTCCATTGGTAGCACGACTTTATTTATTTTATACTCTTTATGACCCTTAAACAATAGTCCTCATCCTAACAGTAATCCTCAACCCCTAACCCTAGCCTTATTGGAACATTAATTCCTAAACCCAACCACTAACACTAACTCTTATCCTAACACTAACTCTGAAATGCAATTCTGAACACTAACTCTTATCCTAACACTAACTCTGAAGTGCAACTTTGAACGCTAACTCTTATCCTAACACTAACTCTAAAGTGCAATGCTGAACGCTAACTCTTATCCTAACACTAACTCTAAAGTGCAATGCTGAACGCTAACTCTTATCCTAACACTAACTCTAAAGTGCAATGCTGAACGCTAACTCTTATCCTAACACTAACTCTAAAGTGCAATGCTGAACGCTAACTCTTATCCAACACTAACTCTGAAGTGCAACTTTGAACGCTAACTCTTATCCTAACATTAACTCTTATCCTAACACTAACTCTGAAATGCAATTCAGAACGCTAACTCTTATCCAACACTAACTCTGAAGTGCAACTCTGAACGCTAACTCTTATCCTAACACTAACTCTAAAGTGCAATTCTGAACACTAACTCTTATCATAACACTAACTCTGAAGTGCAACTCTGAACACTAACTCTTAGCCTAACACTAATTTCTAAACCTAACAGCTAACATTAGTCCTTTTCATAACACTAATTCATAACCCTAACTCTAACCCTTATCCTAACACCAATTAGGAAATCCGACCGCAAACTCTAACTCTTATCCTAACACTAACTCCTAACTCTATCTCCTAAGGCTAATCTTTATCCTAACACTAACTCCTAGGTCTAAGCCCTAACATTAACCCTTATCTTACCTATCTCTTACTTTGTCCTACTTTAGGCACTCTCTGAAAAGTCTTCTCTTCAGGGAAGCCTGTCAAGGTGTCTACCTAAGAACTGTAGGCTCTCCATCAACTCAGCCGACGTTGCCATCTTTTGTACCACTTGCCCTTCCCCTCAGATTGTAAGCTCTCAAGAGCAGGGCCCTCCTAACCCTCTTGTTTTGACTTGTATTGTAACTAGACTGCCTCTACTTTGGAAAGTGCTGCACATGTTGGCAGCCTTGATTTGCCACCAGCTCCTGCCAAGCTGGCCAAGGGCACCTCCCCTCTTCTTAATGAGATCGGGTACACTCCTGAAAACGGAGAAACTCCACCATCTTGTTACCCACATTTTCCTGGCCTGAGGTCCAACCTCCAAAAAACAAGGACTGTGCAAAACGAGCAGCCCTTTCAATGATATTACTGTGGTATTAAAAAAAATTACGATTCTGTATACGTCACTCTTCCACTCCATAAAATCAAGTCCAACAACAAAATTCACCATAGGATAGGAACACATGAACAAGGAATGTCTGACCAACTCTGACACCTCCTCAATATAGGTCCCCCAAAAGTGGGTTCTCCTCCAGAATCTCTTCTGGGCCACCCCAAAGGGTATGCTCTCTCAGACTACAGACCTACATAGTTTTTGTCAGGGGTAGCCTGTTCCCATTACTCCTTCTGACAAAGTGTCAGGGATGCGGGTGTGACCAGAAGTGTGTGGACTGACACAGGGAAACGCAAGCTTCAGATATGGTATAAATAAGACAATTTATTAAGACTAACAATACAAACATAAACGCAGTGCACCAAACCCAAAGCTAACATAAATACATACAACAAGGTGAAACAAACCCAAACCTAAACTGATATAGATACACAGGTACATACACATATAGAGCACAACATAGTCAGGCAGGCCGGGTCGATAACTATTGGGCAGGTAGGTACAGGAGGAGCAGGCAGAGAATGGTCAGGGTCACAAGCCAGGGATCAAACAGGAGAAGTCAGCAGAGGTCAGGATCAGGCAGGGTTGGCAACAAGTCAGGCAGGAACAGGAACAGGAATGCAGGTTACAAGATACAGGGGCCCATGGAAAAACACACACAAAGGCACAGACTGCAGGTCTGGCCATCCCTTAAATACACCACCTGCAATCAGCCCCAGGTGATGGCTAATTGCCGAAGTGAACCTCTGGTTGTTGAGAGCACCCGCTGGCCAGCCCTGGTACTGCAGCCCACAAGGCAGCTGAGTCCCACCACTATTGGCAAGTCCATTCCTGACACAAAGACTCCTCCCACACAAGTATATATAGGTGTACAGAACTCCACCCACCAACTCCACCCAGGGGAGGGACCCCACTAAAAGGGGTATTAACTTGCTTACATTCAAACTGTTGGCACTGTATAATTACTATATAATAATATTAACACTAACTCCTGAACATTACTCCTAACACTAGCCCTTATCCTAACACTAACTTGTAAACCCTACTAACTCCTAACTCTAAACACCTATTATAACACTAACTCCTAAGACTAATTGTTATCCTAACACCAATGCCTAATCCTAACCATTAACTATACTTTTTATCCTAACACTAGTTTCAAACTCTAACCCCTAACACTAACTTTTATTCTAACACTTATTCCCACACCCGACCCCTTATCCTAAAGCCAACTACTAAATCTAACCTACCACCTAAACCTAACTCTTAACACTAACCCCCGTATTAAATTTGACCCCCAAACCTAACTGCTTACACAATCAATAGCATCAAATTTATCTTGGGTTGTGTGAGTCTCAACTATGGAAATGAGTGAATCTGCCTGATGGCCATACCTATATATCTCCCACCACAGGCTTGGTATTCCCAGGTATGGGGAAACGGGGGACACTCCCCTGAGTCCCATGTACTCTGTCACATGGGGAAGGAACATAGATAGTCCTTGTAATGCCTGATACTCAGTATTTGAATAGTGATTTGCAGGGGTCTCCCGCAGAAGGAGATCCAGAACAAATCTCACCCCTAACCCACTTATACTCTACTTTACCACATTTTCCCACCACTCCATTGCTTCTTCAGAGCCCTTGGGGAAATAACCAAATTTGATGAAGGACCATGTGACCTCATCCTAGAATGTAGTGCTCAGGCCTAAGCTGCCAATTGCCTGACCCAGACACTGTCACCTGAGGAGGAGGATGACATCATCAAACCTATG